AATAGGTGATGTGGAAAAATACTCCAACTCAGCCACAGTCACAACAGACCATTTATTCCATTCAGATTTAAGTTGCAAAAATTTGGTTTAGTTTAGTGCCTTGCCCTCTGCCCTCCCCCATAGTGTCTGTGTGGTGTGTTTTGTAAGTGTGTAATGTGTGTGTGCGGGTAGTGTTTATTGTGTGTGGTGCAGGTTGTCTGTAAGAAATGTGTGTTTGCTGCCTTTGTGTTCTGGCTATCTGGTGTGTGTGCGCTTGCGCGCGTGTGTGCACGCAGGCTCCATGTTATGGTGGTGTGTGATAGCTGTATGTTGTAGTGGTTTGTGTGTCTGATGTGTGCTGGCTGTATGTGTGTAATGTTTTCAGACTGTATATTTTGATTGTGTGTGCTGGCTATATGTTGTGGTGCGTGCTGTCTGTATGTTGCGTGTGTTTGTGTGTGCTGTCTGTGTGTTTGTGTGTGCTGTCTGTGTGTTTGTGTGTGCTGTCTGTGTGTTTGTGTGTGCTGTCTGTGTGTTTGTGTGTGCTGTCTGTGTGTTTGTGTGTGCTGTCTGTGTGTTTGTGTGTGGCTGTATTTTGTGCGTGTGTGTGAGCTGGCTGTATTTTGTGCGTGTGTGTGAGCTGGCTGTATTTTGTGCGTGTGTGTGAGCTGGCTGTATTTTGTGCGTGTGTGTGTGAGCGCTGGCTGTATTTTGTGCGTGTGTGTGTGAGCGCGCTGGCTGTATTTTGTGCGTGTGTGTGTGAGCGCGCTGGCTGTATTTTGTGCGTGTGTGAGAGCTGGCTGTATTTTGTGCGTGTGTAAGAGTTGGCTGTATTTTGTACGTGTGTGAGAGAGTTGGCTGTATTTTGTGCGTGTGTGTGAGAGAGCTGGCTGTATTTTGTGCGTGTGTGTGAGCTGGCTGTATTTTGTGCGTGTGTGTGAGCTGGCTGTATTTTGTGCGTGTGTGAGAGCTGGCTGTATTTTGTGCGTGTGTGTGTGAGCGCGCTGGCTGTATTTTGTGTGTGTGAGCGCGCGCTGGCTGTATTTTGTGCGTGTGTGAGAGCTGGCTGTATTTTGTACGTGTGTGAGAGCTGGCTGTATTTTGTACGTGTGTGAGAGCTGGCTGTATTTTGTACGTGTGTGAGCGCTGGCTGTATTTTTTGTGTGTGTGTGCGCGCGCGCTGGCTGTATTTTGTGTGTGCGCTGGCTGATTGTGCGTGTATGAGAGTTGGCTGTATTTTGTGCGTGTATGAGAGTTGGCTGTATTTTGTGCGTGTGAGAGAGTTGGCTGTATTTTGTGTGTGTGTGTGAGAGAGAGCTGGCTGTCTTTTGTGCGTGTGTGTTAACTGGCTGTGTGTGTGCTGTGCTGGATGTGTGTGTGCTGTGCTGATTGTGTGTCTGTGTACTGACTGTATGGTGTGTGTGTGTATCTGCTGGCTGTATGTTTTGTGTATCTGCTGGCTGTGTGTGTGTGTGTATCTGCTGGCTGTATGTTGTGTGTGTGTGTGTATCTGGCTGTGTGTGTGTGTGTGTGTGTATCTGCTGGCTGTATGTTTTGTGTATCTGCTGGCTGTATGGTGTGTGTGTGTGTATCTGCTGGCTGTATGGTGTGTGTGTGTGTGTATCTGGCTGTATGGTGTGTGTGTGTGTGTATCTGGCTGTATGGTGTGTGTGTGTGTGTATCTGGCTGTATGGTGTGTGTGTGTGTTTGTGTGTGTGTATCTGCTGGCTGTATGTTGTGTGTGTGTATCTGCTGGCTGTATGTTGTGTGTGTGTGTATCTGCTGGCTGTATGTTGTGTGTGTGTGTGTGTGTGTATCTGCTGGCTGTATGTTTTGTGTGTGTGTATCTGCTGGCTGTATGTACTGACTGTAGGGTGTGTGAGTCTGTGTACTGACTGTAGGACGTGTGAGTGTCTGGTGTGAGAGTCTGGTGTGTACTGACTGTAGGACGTGTGAGTGTCTGGTGTGTACTGACTGTAGGACGTGTGAGTGTCTGGTGTGTACTGACTGTAGGACGTGTGAGTGTCTGGTGTGTACTGACTGTAGGACGTGTGAGTGTCTGGTGTGTACTGACTGTAGGACGTGTGAGTGTCTGGTGTGTACTGACTGGTAGGGTGTGTGAGTGTCTGGTGTGTACTGACTGTGAGTGTGTGTGAGTGTCTGGTGTGTACTGACTGTAGGACGTGTGAGTGTCTGGTGTGTACTGACTGTAGGACGTGTGAGTGTCTGGTGTGTACTGACTGTAGGACGTGTGAGTGTCTGGTGTGTACTGACTGTAGGACGTGTGAGTGTCTGGTGTGTACTGACTGTAGGACGTGTGAGTGTCTGGTGTGTACTGACTGGTAGGGTGTGTGAGTGTCTGGTGTGTACTGACTGGTAGGGTGTGTGAGTGTCTGGTGTGTACTGACTGGTAGGGTGTGTGAGTGTCTGGTGTGTACTGACTGGTAGGGTGTGTGTGAGTCTGGTGTGTACTGACTGTAGGGTCAGTGTGTTTGCTGACAATATGGTGTATGGTGTGTGCTAGATCTCCAACTTTCCTTAACTTTAAGCCAAATTGGACTCCATTTTCTCCTTGCGGTTCTGGCACTCACGGAGTCAGGGTGCATGCTGGGAGTCTGCAATGCACTCTGACTCACTAAATAACCGTGGATTCAGTACATTGGTGTACAATTTTGGCGATCCATGTCCCAAACACTGTCCTCTCACTTGCTGCCATGCCGCTTACCTGCAGCAGGGCTAAATGCCCAAACAAACTGCATGTCCCGGGCGATACAAACTTCACATCCCTGGGAATAGATTTTAAATTGATTCTATTTTGATTGTTTTATTTTTATTTCTTTTTGTTTTTATACTTTTAGCCTGTTTACGTGGATTAAACATTTTTTTTTCTTTTGTGCAGAGTAACCTGCGCAGAGATGATAACCTCTTTGGCCAGCACATTACACGGACGTCAGTATTTGTTACAGCAAGGCGTGATTGATAAAATTTCCAACATGATTGTTGGAGCAGATTCCGATCCCTTTTCTGGGTTCTATTTACCAGGTGACACATTTAAATAACAGCTTCTTTAAAGTGTGATATTAAAGTGCTTCATGGTTGAGTTCGAAAAGAGCGCTAGATGTGCAGGGATGACCAGGCTGTTATGTCATCGTGGCCATTCCCCCATCAAGGCTCGTTGTTTTCCCCATTAGTTTTTATAAGTGCATAAGTACACAAAGTATAGTCATTATTGTAGATTATGTACGTTTTGTCACGGTGGCTTTCCCTTTTCTATTTTTGGACAGGATTGATAAAGTTTTTTGGAAACCTTGCTGTCATGGACAGCCCTCAGCAGATATGTGAACACTATCCAGCTTTCCTCGAAAAGGTTTTCAGCATGGCAGAGGGCCACGAGACTACCATGATTGGTGTGGCTGTGGATACGCTCGGTGTCCTAGGTTCAAACCTTGAAGGAAAACAAGTTCTACATAAGACAGGTGACATGTTTTGTACCATGTGCATGACTTTCTGGACACCATTACCTTTATATAATGTCTTATTTTTTACCAACCCATGTTTATCCCATGATGGGCTTAAAGGACCACTATAGTGCCAGGAAAACATACTCATTTTCCTGGCACTATAGTGCCCTGAGGGTGCCCCCACCCTCAGGGTCCCCCTCCCGCCCGGCTCTGGAAAGGGGTTAAAACTTACCTTTTTCCAGCGCTGGGCGGGAGCTCTCCTCCTCCGATCCTCCTTCTCTCCTCCCCGTCGGCTGAATGCGCACGCGCGGCAAGAGCTGCGCGCGCATTCAGCCGGTCACATAGGAAAGCATTCATAATGCTTTCCTATGGACGCTGGCGTGCTCTCACTGTGAAAATCACAGTGAGAAGCACGCAAGCGCCTCTAGTGGCTGTCAATGAGACAGCCACTAGAGGAAATAGGGGAAGGCTTAACCCATTCATAAACATAGCAGTTTCTCTGAAACTGCTATGTTTATGAAAAAATGGGTTAACCCTAGCTGGACCAGGCACCCAGACCACTTCGTTCAGCTGAAGTGGTCTGGGTGCCTAGAGTGGTCCTTTAATATTATTTTCCTTGTATAGATCGTTGACCTGGGTATCTCTCTTTCCATAGGCAGCAGATTTCAGAAAGTTTTCAAGCGACTCGGACACCATGCAAAAAATGCTCACACTGATCTCCGAGTAAGATGTTTGGATGCAGTCTCTTCTCTCATGTTCCTACCGGTAAGATTAGCAAATTTGGGTAATTTTTTTAAAATTATTTAAAAAAAATAAAAAATATTTTATGCGTATGCTGTCCTGTCTTAATCATGTATTTCAATCCCTTAACTGAATGCAAATGGTAATTTGTTCTGACAATTTCATTCTGACTAAATGAAAAATTGTATTTATATGCACAAAAATATTTTGCAATGTTTGCAGGTTGGTATGTTTTAGTTAAAGTTCCAATTACCTTGTCTATAGTGCTACTTTATTGAAGGCGTTCTCATTTAGATTTCTCTATTAGGTGCTATCTCAGTGTATCATTATGGAAAATGTAGTCCACAAAAACTCAGCCTAAAGGTGAACTTACTTCGCAGGCAACATAAATTCAGTGTGTGTTTTCCTGTTCTCAGGTAGAGGACCATACAGAAGATCTCTTGGCAATGACTGAATCGTGGTTTGTTGCCTTATCAGACCAGCCAATCGATCTCTTCCGGAGCATTGTCAGCCAACCGTTCCCTGAGCTGCATTGCGGAGCGCTCAAAGTCTTCACAGTAAGTGATGCTTGTAAGGCAGTTGAGTAAGAGGTGGGAAAGACTTGTAGCTTCTGTAACTGTTCAAATCATAGCAGTTTGAAGCAACTAAGACCAGAAGACGGCATGTAATCACTGAAAAAAAGCATATGGTATGGTGTGGCTTATTTGTTTTAATAACACACACGTTGACAAGGTGAAATCTCCATATAGAACTTCTAGGAACACAGCTGTAGGAGAGCTCTTTAATAACTTTATCACGTTTTCATTCTCCTCCTCTTAGGCTACTGCAAATCAACCGTGGGCTCAGAAACTAATGATTGGCAGCCCTGGGTTTATTGAATACATTGTAGACCGGACAGTCGACCCAGATAAAGAATCCAAGGATGCCAAATTCGAACTTGTCAAGGCACTTGTGAATTCCCCAACCATTGCAGAAATCTTTGGCAATCAGCATTACCTGAGACTGCGTGGCTATTTACGAGATGGCCCTTACTATGTCAAAGCCATCTCTACCGTGGCAGTAGAAGGAGCTGAATAGGTACTGCTACTCCTAACCAAATTGACATTCTCTGCCATCCCTTTAAACGGACATCTCACGGCACAGCAGTCAAATGAAGGAATCCAGATGTTGGTCGACCAAAAAAAAAAAAAAAAAAGCTCTTCAATAACATGGTGGACCCATTTCCACCTTAAACATACTGCTGGATAGTTTACTTTGTTAGGACCTGGAATTACAGTTTGTTTCGTTTTCTCCTTTTTTCCCCCACTGTGACTTTTGCTTAGATGTTTTAATTTGAAGTGAATGTTCCAGAATCCTGGTGCACACAGGTGTATACTTTAGCATGGGACAGATGAGCAATTGGGATTGCTATAGGCAAAGCTGGTAGATTAGTAGGATTGTTACTACCAATTGGAAATGGGATCTTTTTCCTGCTTATCTTTCATTGATTGTCTTATAATGTTTAGATTCATTTTGTATCCTAGACATTTTAATGGGTCTGTCATACACAAATGTTTGGCCATGTTTCATCATGCTATCAAAGGAAATGATATTCTTACTTATTGTGTTTGCCTTATCTCACTTCATTGTGGATACACACAGTTCATACAGCAGCATGGTTGTGTACTTTTCCGCCGACTGTCCTCCTGCCCCACTGTTTGGGAGAGCAAATGAATAAGTGGTGGCTGTGTGAGTCCATTGCCAACACCTAGCTGGCTTCATTCTATGATGACACCCCTCCTCCGTGATAGAGCTTCACTGATGCACATTGCATTACTGACAGTCGTTCCCTCCAGCCTGTATGTTTAACATACAGCTATAAATATATGGGTAAGCTGGCACAATAGATTGAAAGTAAAATTTATATCATAGAAATTTGTTAATCCATACTTATGCTTGCTGGTGCATTAGATATTTAAAAAGTAAGTATTTTTTTTTTTTTTTTAGCACCAGGTAGTTCAATTTTCTTTCTAAAGGAAAAGGCTTTTTTGCTAAAGTGCTTATTATAGTGAAGTGCTCCTCATCTCATTGTATTACGTCACACAGCATCATGAGTTGCATATGTTATTACTTGCATTAAAAGAGGCTCAGTTCCCTCCACTTAAAAGAACACAATGATAATTCAGTATGATATATATATATATATATATATATAAATATATCACATGATCTACTTAATTTTTCTTATGTATATCTATATGGAGAATTAATATGAGGAGGAAAGATCTCAAAGATATGTATTTACTTATCACTGAGCTGGGACATAAGAACTTAAAGGTTGATAATTATTAGGTATTCACAAGATCCTTAAAACTACCCTGTTATTCTCCCCCCCCACCCCCCCTTGCCTTATGCCCCCTGTAATTTAATGATTAAACCTTTACCCCTTCACACTTGCCATTATACTTAATATTTACTCCTTGGCGCCAGATCTCAATATCTGGATGCAGCCATTTTGTTCTGATCTGCCCATGATATCTGCTGTTTGCCCTTCTATAGAAGTGATATTACTGAAGTATTGTGGGTCAATTTGATTGGTGACTGAAACAGAACTTGGCCTTATAGCTCCGTCCATTGTCAAGTTTGGTCAACCTGACTGATATACATAAGAAAATTAGTCCCTGCTTTCCTTTGTGAAAAAACAAGCACTCAGGAAAAAATAAACGACATTCAGACACAGTGAGCTATATAGAAACAGATTAGATAATGTTTATTTTGGTGACTGAGACGATTTTAAGTCTCAGGGTCTCCACGTAATTTGGGATTTTCTGGCTGAATTTAATGAAACAATGAGGTTCAATCCAAATCTAACAATGTATGTATATAGAAATGATAAAAGGAGCATTAATGCAAACATTATTAAAGATTAGGGAAATAGGAAGTTGGTTTGAATGAGAGATTAGTGTCAGTAGGGCAAATATGAAGAGTTAAGTCTCAAATTCTTATGAAATGTTAGCTGGTTCTCCTTGTTCTGATATATATGGACAGGCAGTTTTAGAGCTCTGCACTCTCTTTTGGTGGGGATCGACTTCTTATTGTCGTCTTAAAAATGTTGCTAAGACGGAGGAGAGAACACTTTGTGACTCTTCTATAAATCTGGCATGAAACTGAGGGTCCAATGAATAAAAACAATATATTAGATGGACAATATTATATATATATATTTTTTTTTTCAAGTAGGAATTAAGCAGATTTGTTTATTTTCTAGTAATGTTTGTATCTTGTCCATCATCTCTGTGCTGATAGGATTGTCTTCCAAGCTTATGCATTTAACCGCACTGCACATATTGGATGTCAGACTTTCAGCAATGGCCTGACCTCCTCGATCTCCTATGCCATTGCTGTCAAGGTCGATCTTGACCAAACTTTGGTTAATCTGTAGAGTTTGGGCCAGCAGGGTAGCCCCTCTGTCTCCTAGGTTATTCTCATCCAGCAACACATGGTTAATATTTGTATTGTCTCTCATTGCATCAAACAATTCTTTCCAGACCTCCCAGCCGTTTACACTGATTTTAGCTAGGCCTAGGTATTTAACCGTTGGATTAAGCTTTAGAAAAAATGCAACACTCCGAAGTCCTTCAGTACTAAGCTGGTTGCCTCCTATGTCTAATTCCGTGAGTTCTAAATGTTGTATATTTGGCGTGATTCCCCATTTGGAATTGTTTAGCATCGATAGACTGCTCATTAGTTCCTTAATCCCAGGATCTCCAAACTTATTCCCATATAATCTGAAAGAAAAATTTAAGAAATTGCAGAGACACTTCTTTAACATATGCTTGAGAGTAGATATTTCACTCACATTTGAAGGAACACTCTAGGGTCAGGAACACGAACTTATTTCTGACCCTATAGTGTTAAAAACACCATTTTGCCGCCCTAAATATAGTAAAATGCTTACTTGTGTTCAAGTGTGCAGCTGCTGGCTCCGTGTTGTTCTGAGCCAATCACAATGCTTTCCAATAGGATTGGCTGAGGCTGTCAAGGAAGCAGATCAGGGGCAGAGCCAAACACAGCCCTGGCCAATCAGCATCTCAACATAGAGATGTATTGAATCGATGCTTCTCTATGAGGAAAGTTCATTGTCTGCATGCAGAGGGTGGAGACACTGAATGTCAGTCACACTATGCAGCACTGCCACAGGAAGCACCTCTAGCAACCGTCTGAGGAGTGGCCAGTGGAGAGGTATCACTAGGCTGTAATGTAAACACTGCATTTTCTCTGAAAAGAGACTTTAATGCAAAAAGCCTGAAGGGAATGATTCTTCTCACCAGAACAAATACAATAAGCTGTAGTTCTGGTGGCTATAGTGTCCCGTTAAAGAGTGTGTAGTATTTTGCGTCAGTATGTATAGTTAAAGGAGTTGCAGGTCTTGAGTAGATACATTTATTAAGAATCTTAGATCAGATTTTTTTGATTTGCAAGATATCCCTTATGCATATTGAAGCCTTAATTATTTGCACACAATAGAGGCATGGTGTGGAAAATTTGGTGAATATGACAACCCTGTCCATTTAGTGACTTACAGCAGGCTTTTCACACACGGTTTCTCCTTTAGTAGTTGGACAATAGTCTTTGCTCCCTCTGGGCCAATCTCGTTCAGGTTGAGGTTAACGCTCTCCACTTGGGACTTGCTGTTGACGATGGCGGTGGTGAGGAGGTGAAGCAAGGAGTCTGTCATTCCTGTGTTTCTAAGAATGAGCTCATTGACTTCATCACAGTCCTGGAGCACAGAGCTCAATGCTGAAATCTGGGAAGAGATAATCCATTCAGTGACTTTAGGCAGGTACACAATATATAAAATAGGATCTGTTTACTAGTGGAGAGCAGTAGGACAAACAAATGAGTTTTGAGGGCACTTCATGACTTGACCTCTGATATTTTTTGTTGAATAAAAATTTTCATTTTATAGTTTAACGTTTATGGCTTTTATTTTTTATTTTTTTGGTGTCTCACTCCTACGGTCTTTGTATATTTTGCAAAAAACCTTAGATGGTGCCTGCTCTGGTTTTATTCCGTAGGAGGGTAGTTTTTACCTACCTGAACCTGTCCCCCGTGGGTGCCTCCATCATTTTCTGCAAGGTCCTCTTTGGCTCCTGTCGTTTTACGCGCCAGGAGCCGAGGTCTGCAATGTGTTCTCATACACGTGTACAACACTGATATCTATTTAGAATCCTGTGAGATTGCGGGATCCTCCAAAAAAGACTCCTCAACCCCATATCCCTCACTAATGATGGCTGAGGGCCTGACAAAGGGTAGTTCTGTCTTCTTTCAAACATAGATAAAATACGTAGGACAAAGTCCCTATGCACTGATCAGCCACACAATTAAAACCACTGACAGGTGAAGTGAATAACAGTGATTAATTATATTGTTACAATGGCACCTGCCAATGTGTGGGATATATTAGGCAATAGGCAGCAAGTGAGCAGCCAATTATTGCATTTCCTGCGTTGGAATCACGAAAATGGGCAAGATCTGAGTGTCATAATTAGACAACGGAGTAATGAAAGAAGGTTGCCTGGTCTCATAAATCACATTTTCTTTTAGATCAGGTGGATGGCTGGGTGCTTGTGCGTTGTTTACACGGGTAAGAGAGAAGCAGCAGCAAAGAGTTCAAGGTATTGCTTGGCCTCCAAATTCGCCAGATCTCAATGTGATTGAGCATCTTTGCGATGTGCTGGAATAGCAAAACCCGATTAATGGAGGCCCCACCTCGCAACTTGCAGGACTTAAAGGATCTGCTGCTAATGTCTTGGTGCAAGATACCACATGACACGTTCAGAGATCTTGTGGAATCTGTGTCTTGAGGCATCAGAGCTGATGGCAGCATGAGGGGGGCCTTCGTGATATTAGGCAGGTGGTTTTAATGTTGTCTTTGATCATTGTTTATATGATATCTTTATATTTCAACTCATTCCTTATGAGCATTTCTAGTTTTGTTTTGTTTTTTTGGAGGGGGAGTGATGGAGCCGCTGTAATGTCTCAATGGCAACCATAGAATACATCACTGATTTTATACCAAGTAAGAGTACCCTATGCTCAAAATTTGGTATATTGCTGAAAGAGGAATAGCAAACTATATGTGTAATTAAATATACTTATTCTGAAGCCCACCTGGCTAACGAGGGAGTTTCTTTCCTCCTCTCCTTCTGGAGTTTCCAGACCAATTTCAGGTCCCTTAAATTCTGATACATTTTCTTCATTTACATGTGTCTTTGCTGCCTCCTGCAGGTCAGTGACTGGCAATGCGATGTCTGCTCTCTCTGTGTTGCTGATTTGGCAATCTGCAATTTCCAGTGCTTGTTTACCATAAAAACATATACAAGGAAGATCAAGTTAGATGTTTAAGTATCAGATACATAAATTAGACTGATCAAATCGATAGGTCTAGTTTTGTTTTAATTGTTTTGTATTCCATTCTGTGTTCATTTTCCTTTCTTAGGTGTGATATTTTCTATCTATATATGGGACAAATGTTGGGACCCAATTTACCTTGTGGGCATCTCTTCTGTCAAAACGATGTAAATGTTTAATTAGCTTCTTGTTTTTAAAACATCCTCATTTTTTATTTACTAGGAGTAACACAGCTGGGGAAACCAATTTATAGTGTTAGTCCTTCCAAGATGACTCAAGCCAGGTAAAGTGATTTATATTGATATATTAACAATAACTTGAAAAATGAACAATAAATAGGAAAACATAAAATAACAGTCCTATATAAATATAATTATGAGGTCTAATATATTTGACCTCTCTCACACAACTACAGGACAATAGTAGTTGACAGATATTCTGGTCATTTTCGATTTTTCTCAAGTTAAACTTGAATTCATCGTATGGGATGTGGGGACTCCGAAACATACCTACAGTGCTTCGATTCTCACTGCTGTCACTGGAATCACTCAGTTCAACTTCAGAGCATGGGGCGTCCCCCCCTGCCAAAGCTGCTTCGAGTTTAGTGTGTATGGGCCTGTCTGTCATTGGTAGGAGAAAAGTAAACTTCATTAAATTCTATAGAACCATGAAAAGAGAGTTTCTAACACAGATGAGCCTATACCTTGGCCTTCAGCTAGTTATGTTGTGGCAGCACCTCAAGGCACCCACACTTAATTACTGCACAAAAATGTTATGCTTTATATTTAATGGAAGGGGGAGGATGGACGCCACATGGGATTGGGATTGTCACTTTGGTATGTTCCTGTGTTTAACGATTGTGTTTGTGTTTTCGTATATGTGCTTATTACCATTGCATTATGTTCCCATTAAGGAAAGCACATTGAGTGAATTTATGGCTGGATAAACCAACGCATTAAGGACATTGGATATGTGTTTGCAATTACAGAACATCTGAGCCTTCAGCAAGTGTGAGTTTTCCTCCATAAACCATATAATGAATGGTGTGTGATTTCTCAAAGTTTAATGGTGTCAGAAGGTTTGCGATTATACTACCTGTTAAATGATTTTCACATCCATGTTTTTAGTATAGTTTTTTTCAGAAGGTGTTATATTTACAGATTTCAGAAGGGCTGCGTTAAATTTACAGATTTCAGAAGGGGTGCGTTAAATTTACAGATTTCAGAAGGGGTGCGTTAAATTTACAGATTTCAGAAGGTGTTATATTTACAGATTTCAGAAGGGATGTGTTATATTTACAGATTTCAGAAGGGATGTGTTATATTTACAGATTTCAGAAGGGGTGCGTTATATTTACAGATTTCAGAAGGGGTGCGTTATATTTACAGATTTCAGAAGGGGTGTGTTATATTTACAGATTTCAGAAGGGATGTGTTATATTTACAGATTTTAGAAGGGGTGCGTTATATTTACAGATTTCAGAAGGGGTGCGTTATATTTACAGATTTTAGAAGGGTCGCGTTATATTTTAAGATTTCAAGAAGGTGTGCGTTATATTTACAGGGGCTTCCAGAAGGGGTGTGTTATATTTACAGATTTCAGAAGGGGTGCGTTAAATTTACAGATGTCAGAAGGTGTGCGTTAAATTTACAGATTTCAGAAGGTGTGCGTTATATTTACAGATTTCAGAAGGGATGCATTATATTTACAGATTTCAGAAGGGGTGTGTTATATTTACAGATTTTAGAAGGGGTGCGTTATATTTACAGATTTCAGAAGGTGTGCGTTATATTTACAGATTTTAGAAGGTGTGCGTTATATTTACAGATTTCAGAAGGGGTGTGTTATATTTACAGATGTCAGAAGGGGTGCATTAAATTTACAGATTTCAGAATGTGCGTTATATTTACAGATTTTAGAAGGGGTGCGTTATATTTACAGATTTCAGAAGGTGTGCGTTATATTTACAGATTTCAGAAAATTTACATTCTATGCTTGATTTTCGTAAAGATGTTGGATCTGTATTTTCTTGATTGATGGCTTTTTCATCTTCCATGAGGTTATCCATGCAGCCCCCTGGGGGTTTTCTGGGTAACTTGCATTCATCTGATAGTATATAGGCTGGATTGCGGTTACATTGTATCTGATCTGTGCCATCTCCTCTCACGGTTGCAAAGTCTTCTTCAGAAGGGATGATAAACCTCTCTTTTGCCCCTCCTGATTGAACATACTTTGTTTCATTGTTGCTCTCTCTACATCCACTAAGGGACCGTGTTTTGCTACTTCTCCTGTGATCTGGAATTAGGGTGATAAGACAGCCCTTGCTCAAAGATTATTACTGTAACCCTAACCCATATGCTAGGGGAATGAACTATGGCGGTTAGTCTGAAACAATCACTCTGTCAACAAAAATTCTCATGATACTTTTCATGGACAATGATCCAAAGTGAGACATTTTTTTAAATCCTCGGATTTAACATGTATAGTGTGTTGATATAGTGCTAATAGTGATATATAGCTGAATCAGCTGAATTTCATGCTGTGAATACTTAATAACATACTTAAGCCTCAATTTAATATTGTTGGATAGGCTTGTAAAATTATTTAATATTTTTGGATAAACTTTAAAAATGATTTTATTTTTTTTTAATTTAAAAAAAAATTAAGAAAAAATCATATCAAAATATTACAAAATTAAGTTAGTTTATAAAATATTAAATCATTCAAAAAAATCTTAACCAACAATATTAAATTAAGACCTTAATGGGGGCATGTCTATTTTCCCTTAAAATTTGCAGTAAGATTTTGCTTTATTCTTTAATATTATTTTATTTTGGGTGAGCAGTCTTTATCATTTGTAACCTTTCTTGGATATATCAGAGTGCCAGGCGTTGTAATAGAGGATAAACGTTTAATGTACTGTAATGAGGGGTAAGCTGCAGGACTGCCTACTTGGTTGGATTTCTCGAACACATGATACACAGTTTGCTTTACCTCTTGTTTCTGGTCGACATGTCTTTGATTTCCTGGATCTCCTATCATTGATACGTTGTATATTCTCTTGCTCAGAGTCAGACTCTTGTTTTGGCGCTCTCTTCTTCTTTCGCCTTCTTCTCTGATTGGCAGTATTTACCTGGATAGGTCGCAGGTTTGGTTGCTGATGGGGTATTCCTCCGGGTATTTCTGACCCCAGATATGGTTTTCTGATGTTCCAAGTGTTAATTGCTGAATCCTCTATGTTACTTGGCATAAGATGCCCGGATCCTTGAGCGCAGTCTTTCAACTGATTCTCTCTAAAAACTGAAAGGATTCTGTCTCTTAAAATTAAGTAGAAAAACCTAGGTGTATCTTATCCCAGTTCTTATTCTAATTCAGGCTATGCCATTGGGCATTTTCCACCACCCTCCCCTATTCTCTTCTCCAACTTTTAATGATGTAAATGTAATTCCATAATCAAGGAGTAATGATGTCCCCAACATCTCTGCAGACATCCAGATAGAGAGACTCTGGAAAGACTGTGTAATAAATATCTACTAGATGTGTCAGTGATACATAGGACTACTCCAATCACCATTACCACTTGGTCATGGTTCGTTTAGTCTGTATGTGCAGCATTTTGCTATAAAACGTGGCACATCTGGAGGTGTAACTCCACCTCAGGCTGCATTATTGGGGTGTCATTATCCAGCCCTGAACAAGCGGTCCGGCTGTCTAATGTGAATTCTGTGCAAAGTTTGTTTTGTTTTAGCCCTTAGTGAGTCCCTACCAATCTTATGGGTTTAATCAGGTAGTGAAACAAATTGTTGTTACAGCTGGTTGTGACATTAGTATTACCCAACGATGGTGGAGATGTAGTATAAAATCTCCAGAAGTAGACCTGTGTGTTATTGAAACCAAATCCCTATGAAGTCCATAATCATTATTGCTTTTAAAATAAAAAGCCATGAGACTGAAGACTAGAGTAACCAAGTATGGACCGTTTGTTGTTTATTGAACTCCTTTAAAACGTTGCCAAACAAATGCAGTATGTTCATATCTAACTTCTTCCTCCCTAGAATTTTGCTTAGTGTAGTGTGTAAGTCGAAAAACAAGTTAAAACACAACATACCGTTTTCACTGCGTTTGGCCAATCCCTGGCACTCGTTTCCCATCTCTTTGGGTTTTATTTGGATCTGTTTTCGTTTGTGGAAATCAGTACACCTAGAAGAACAGAGATTGTTACCTGAATGTCTTTTACAAAGATGGTAAATTTGTAATGGATAGACATTGTACAGATATGAGCAGTGTGAGTGATGCCACACTCTGACCTGTTATTTAAGGACAGGTGTGGGTTATTCTCACCACAGACATGTTCGGAGAACACATCTGTGTTTGTTAATGATAACTAGGTGTTTAGATGTGGTACCTGTAGCAAGGCGTTCCTCCACTGATTTGGGTAACTCGGAAGCAGCCCCGCTTGCCCTGTTGAAATCCTGCGTGGTACCTGTACTCGCAACAGGAACTTAATCGAGTGACTATGAGTCCGTTGATATACACGCTAGCACTGAATGGAAATCCATGTTGGCGCTTGGATAGAAACTGGAAAGTCTCTTCATAAAACAAAATCAATGTTTAAAATTGGACAAGGCAAAGTGTATAAGCTCTGTGTATCATGCGCATGACTACATCAGAAAGTCTCTTAATGAGAATATAAAGAAAGACTACCGTGCTTGTTCAGCTTCACTAGATACAGTGATCAACTTGTAATTCGATTTTCCTACCAGACATCGATATCTTCTGGGCATACTTGGACATGACCAGCATTGACCTTAGCCTGTTCTGAATTATCCAAGCATAGATCATTAGTTGGGAGGAATATTAACTAAGCATCTTGTCAGGAAGACTTGCCGGTTCATTTGTTGTGGACTTTGTGTGCTAACAAGTCCATCTCACTACTGTCACATCCAATGTAAACTGTGCAAACCTATCTTCCATTAGCACTAATATGCAGGATATACTAGTTAAACCTTGTTCACAACTCCATAATTCATATCCAGGGTAAGCAAACTGAGCCTAGCCAGTAACCCACCTACGGAGCTAACCACCATAACTTACCTTCAAGCATCATTCACCACCATAACTTACCTCCAGCACTCAGGTAGCCCTTATACACACATAAGTTCTCCCCTCCGCAGGCTTGTTGAAACATTCTTACTTCATCCTTTGGGTTTACAATTTCACTGGTGACCGAGAAGCCCGTCCCGAGGTATTGCATTGTAAGGTGCACATTTGTGTGCTCTTGGGCTCTTCTTTTATCAGATTTTTTAATGGATTGTAAATCCTGAAAATGACAGAAAACTAAACTATTATCACGTCCTGCAGATATGTTATTTAAGATGGAGTAACAATCTATCTTACATTTACGGACCAGTTTATGGAATTACAAAGCTCACAAAGCTCATGAAAGCTGACAATAGAATGCAGTTTGAATCAGTGTTAGAATTATTTAAGGATTCCTTATTGTCTCTGTAGCATAGAGCATACTGCATCCCAAGCAGTTGTGTATGTAAAAGATTACCCCTTGGGCATCAGTGGGAGTTTTATGGGAAACTGATACAGTGGAGGAGGTAAATGGTGATTTGTGCATGAGTGTTTAGTGAGGTGGAGAAATTGCTGCTTCTTTTTCAATGATAAAATATCTTTAACAAGTGCATGGTTTGAGGAACATGACAAAGAGTTCAAGGTGTTGCCTTGGCTTTCATATTATCCAGATCGCAGTCAGATTGAGCATCTGTGGGATGTGCTGGAAGGACAAATCCGATCCATGGAGGCCCCACCTCGTAACTTGCAGGACTTAAATGATCTACTGCTAATGTCTTTGTTCCAGATACCACAGGACACAATCAGAGGTATTTTTAGAGGCCATAACTCGATGCATCAGAACTGGTTTGGTAGCACGAGGGGGACCTATACAATGTTAGGCAGGTGGTTTTAGTGTTGCGGCTGCTCTGTGTGTGTGTGTGTGTGTGTGTGTGTGTATATATATATATATATATATATATATATATATATATATATATATATATATATATATATATATATATATATATATATATGTGTGTGTGTGGGGGGGGTGGGTGTGTGTATGTATGTATGTGTGTATATATATACATACACACACACACACAGTGGTGTACACACAAACCATGGGGCCCCGGTGCGAAAATTATCTGTGGGCCCCCCTCTCTATTCACCCCCCCTGACAGACACATACATACAAACAGATACAGACACACACACACAGACAGACACACACACAAGACATACATACAAAGACACATACATAAAAAAAACAGACAGACACACACAAGACGCACATACATACACAGACAGGCACACACACACACATACATACATACATACACAGACAGACACACACACACATACATACAAAGACATGCAGACACACATACACACACACAACGCACATACATACAGACAGACACACACATACAAAGACATATATACAAACAGGCAGACACACACACCAACAGACAGACACACACACCAACAGACAGACACACATACATACAGACAGACGGGCACATACATACAGACAAGCAGACACATACACAGACAGGCACACACACACATACAAAGACATACATACAGACAGACACACATACATACAAACACACACACAAAATGTTTGTCACCCTCCTGTTTCCTACCTTTAAGGTGCAGGAGGGTGACTTTCCCTGGGGTCCAGTGGTGGCTCAGGTGAAAAGGAATCAGAGTTGTCCCATCCTCCTGTGCCCCTTCTTTTCCCCGTCCTCCTGTGTTTCTCTATTGCCTCTCCCCTCCTGTGTTTTTCTGTTGCCTCTCCCCTTCTTTTGTCTCTTCCCTACTGTGCCCTTTAATTGTCCCTCTCGCCCTGCCTGCTCAGCCTCACCTTCCTCAGTGTGACGTAGCCGAGTGGGCGGTCTGCAGCAGAGGAGCCTCTGTTTTCTGTACTCGGTCTGACAGGAAGCAGTTTGTTGCTCTCAGTGAGCACTTCCTGCCAGACCTGGTAAGGGATCAGAAACTCCTCTACTGCGGTCCGCCTGCATGGCCACACTACATGTGACCCAGTGACCGGCATGAGGGGAGAGCTGTAGAGTGCGCTCCCCTTCTGTCGTGTCCGTGTATGCACACTGCGGTTGGACAAGTGCAGCATAGTAATCGGCACCTCATTTACACGATACACACCTACACACTGCAGCCGACACACTAACATGTCACGACATGCAGTTTCGAAAGCTCTGCCATACATCATGAATTTGTAAGATAAATGCTTTCTCTTACCTGGTCATCTGAGATCGAGAATGCTGTTTTGTATGGTGGAGAATTTAAAACACTTCCTGAAACCTCGGTGTTATGCAGGCTCTTAAATGCGCTGGGGATGAAAGGTGATGAATAGTCAATACTGAAGTTCACTGTGTCTAGAATCATTGAAGTACATTTCAACGAAACTTGTGGGAAATGAGATAATGGTCTAATATCTCTCCTGCCCTTGTGTGTCAACCACATAGAAGCCTGAAATAAAAAAAATAAAAAAAAATAATCATTATTTATAATATTTTAAACATGTTTAAACATTTAAATACATAAAAGGAATCAACACAGTAAAGGAGGAGACTATATTTATATTTAAAGAAGAAAAACTACCACAACAAGAGGTCATAGTCTTAAATTAGAAGGGCAAAGGTTTAAACATAATATTACTTTACTGAGAGGGTAGTGAATACATGGAATAGCCTTCCAGCTGAAGTGGTAGAGGTTAACACAGTAAAGAAGTTTAAGCATGCAGGGGATGTGCTTAAGGCTATCTTAACTATAAGATAAGGTCAGGAACTAATGAAAGTATTTAGAAAATTGGGCAGACTAGATGGGCCGAATGGTTCTTATCTGCCTTCACATTCTATGTTTCTATGTTATATAAATTTAATCCCTGTGTATAAAAAAAATAGCTCATATTGCCATCTTCCATCTGATTTGGCAGAGTTTAGAAAGATGCTGTCCTTTTTCTGTTTCATGTTTTATAGTGTTTGTTATAGTTATAGTTAACAGCAGTAACGTCTATGGGTTTGTCCAAATGAAATAGATAAAATATTCTTGCCATGTGGCCATGTGACCCCATTGGCACAAACAATTAAGGTTTCAGTAAGAACATGTACAGTGTTCGCGGAATAAACATTGATCACTACTTGTAGAAAGAATCTCATAGTAAGAATTCATATTTATCCCCTTGATCCAAGTACAGAAGACCTTGCTGGCCTCTGCTCACGTCTAAGAAACTCGAGACATTGCAAGATACAGTATCCGACCGTCTGCTAAAGGGCCAAGGTTACAAGACGCTAATGTGCCCTCTGAATTATATATGAAGATACTAGTTCACGTTGACATTTTCGTAGGCCCTGTGTGTGAACAATGCCTTAATTGGACACCCTGTGAGATCTAGCATGTAATCCTCTATAAGAGGTCTCCAAAAATCTCATCCTGGCGGAATTGTGTACGTAACAGATCCAGCCCATTCTGCACTACCAGTGTTCCAGTTTGAAGGGGGAACCAAAATTTACTTGAAAGATGAGCAACATGAGCTGGTGCATGCAGAAGGCAGAAGTCGAAGTTTATTAGGTGGTCTCACATGTCAATCTGACAAGTAATTATCTCCTTCCCAGCTGGGATTTTGCCATATCAAGTACTTTCTGGCACAGGATAGATTTTGACAATGTGCTAGGCTTAGGGCCAACATATCTGGGGGGCAAGATTAAATGGACACTATAGGCACTACACCCATTTCAACTCACTTAATTGATTATAGTCCTGTCTCTCTAGTGAATGAGGGCTCCTGGATTCCCACAGACCAGCCCCTACTGGAGGTTTGGCTAAGACAGATATTACACACTTCCTTATAACTATGCTTATTTGTACCCACAATGGACACTGTGATAGGCTGAAAACTGTCAGCTGACAATAGCAGGCAATCACAGCCACCCATTGCTGTTCAGGCTAGTGCTTCCTTATTCGTGTAAGCACCACAAAAGGAACAAGCTACTTGGGGCTCTTGTTCAGCATTTAAACATTAAAAACCATTTAACCATTTAATGGAAGGCTGGTGCCAGGGGACACCAGACACCATAGCCACTTCGATGAGATGAAGCATTTACAGTGCCTACAGTGTCCCTTTAACCATCACAGGCCAAAGGAGTTCTATATTCTGCAACAATAAACTGCAGATCTGTTCTCTCTATAGCTGACCACTCTATGTATCTTTTCCATCGTCTGTTAACTGTATACCATAATCAAACGCGCCAGGTACAATGTATCACCCGAAAGGATAATCTAATTGATAAGAGAAAATAGCAGGGAGAAGTAGCAGTACCCCCTACTTTGTATCATATCATTTTTAGAGCGAAGAAATATACCAGGGAGCTTCCGGCACCTAATCTTTTTGCATCTCATTTATAGTATCCTGATAAGCTAGTCAGAGAGGATAAGGGGCAGGTCAGACAAGTTTATGTTTAGAGCAGTTATTTTCAATTATTTTGTTTGAGTATATTTTCACTCTTCCCTAATTTTTTAACCGTACTATTTGTGCTCACCCAAATAGTATAAAAAGAATTGATGTCATTAGAGGCATGCTGCACTTTCAGTAGACTGCAACTCCTATTAGCCTTTGCTACCATTCTAGCAGCAGGGAGAGGACAAGAGAGGGTAAATATTGGTGTAAGACATGACTATTCAGACCCGAGGCTTTAAAAAGTAAAATAATCCATATTTGAAAAGCCCCCTTACTTTAGCACATTTTTAAACTCATTCTGGTCTCCTGCTCCTAACTTTCTATCCTCTCCCCTTGTTCTCACTTCATTGGGCATCAATGCAAAGGGCACATTAACCCAATAAACACAGAGCATCACATCACACAGACTTAAAAGGAAGGAGCCTAGAATCTTAATATCCTCATCATCTATCCAAGTATGCATTTTACATAACATGACCCTCCCAGATGAAATGTCCTTAAAAAGGAATATGCTTCTCTACTTACATCCCACAGACAGTTGTTGAGAAACTCAGAATTTGTGTCGAGAGAGGTATTCATTGTTGTTCCCTGCTCTGCGCTCTCTGTGTAATGAGTGTAATGTGTCCTCTCTGATAACCATGCCAAGACGAGGAGCAAGACATTAACTGGTTGCTAAGAGCTTGTTGAGACTTTTTTTTTTTTTTTCTCTGCTTGAATTCCTATACATTGTTCCCAATCATCTTGCATGAACTGCTTCACCTGATTGTCAGTATCTGGCATGCATCCTGATAACAAATGATATTTAGCCATCCATTCACAATGCAGGACTTCTCCGGTTCAACATACATTCTCTATATCCACTAATGTAAAATGAGCCATTTGTGCGTAACTGTGAACTAGTCTATGGGGTTCACAAACTGTGCTCCTGCAGCCAACCAGGTGACCCAAATCTGAACATATGTGGTTGTCAATGAGATGATACACATGGTTATTCACAAAGTGTGCACTATGAGCAATCAAAGTTAATTTCAAATTTCAGGCCAAAACAGGGAACTGAAAACTATACCTCCCAACGTTTCAGTTGGACAGAGGGACACTTTAATTTTAGGTGTTTGATTGGGGGTGTGGCCAGGGACAGGCTGTTCTGAGAAATTTTAGGTGACTTACTAATAACAATTTATGGAACTAAAATGTAATTTAGAACAAATGATGCCTCTTATTTACACAGACTGATTTCTAAACACATCTATTGTAGTTTAAAGCAATGGCATACTAAAGGCAACCTGGCACCTACCAGGCACTTGCTTGCAGGGGGGTGCCTCTCAGCATGTGCCTTCTCTGTAGCTGTCATGCTGGGGTGTGGGGCACTGAGGGGACTGCTGGGAATTCTCTGTACTGCTGCTTTAGCCAGGAAACGACACTATCCCAGCCCTGGCAATAGTACAGAGCGACAGGTAGCTGGGCAGTCAGTGAGAGAGATCCGTTTTATTTCCCTAACCAAAGGGGGTTGTGGGTGGTGCAGACGGAGACCACAATTTTATTTATTTATTTCCGGGGGAAATGTGTGCCAAAATAATTTTCCGCTCTAGGTGGCATGTACCCTAGGTATGTCTCTGGTTTCAAGACACATTCCTGGGAGTATTATTCCTGTGGAGCTCTGTTATACACTCGCCAACAATAAGGAGCTCATAGAAAAGAGGGACAGAATAGAATAGGATAGGAAATAGTGAGAGATTTAAGACCAAAATACTGACTGTTCATCCTAAATAGGGACACTTGAGAGGTAATTTCCATAATTTACTGACTTTTCTGTTTTAACCTAAAATTTCACTTTGACTTCACCTTGCCTGATTCAGCTTAAGGCAAAAGGCCTTAAAGGGACACTATAGTCACCAGAACAGCTTATTGAATTTGTTCTGGTGAGTAGAATCATTACCTTCAGGCTTTTTGCTGTAAACACTGTCTTTTCAGAGAAAATGCAGTGTTTACATTACAGCCTAGTGATAACTTCACTGGCTACTCATCAGATTGCTGTTAGAGATCCTTGCTATGCATGGCTGCCTAAAATGCATCCAAACATTCAGTATCTCCTCCCACTGCATGCAGACACTGAACTTTCCTCTTAGAGATTCATTGATTCAATTCATCTCTATGAGTAGATGCTGGATGGCCAGGGCTGTGTTTGAATCATGCTGGCTCTGCCTCTGATCTGCCTCTTTGTCAGTCTCAGCCAATCCTACGGCGAAGCATTGTGATTGGACCAGGCCACCACTTCTGATGATGTCAGCAGACTGCTTGTTTTTCTAAATCAAACAGCATGCAGATCTACAGCTTCAGGCTTGAATAAAGTGAGATTTTGCTATATTTATGGAGGCATGAGGAGCCCAGGGGGGCTAGATGGTGGTTTTAATGTTTTGTGTTCCTGACCCTATAGTGATCCTTTAAGCTGAAGCAAGTAAGGTAAATTGTTAGTGTAGGACCCAGATTGGGCAGGTGGGCTTACATCTAATGGCCATTGGAGTGGACCTAAAAACTTCCATTTATATAAATATGCACAGGGACTTGGAATAGTGGGCAAGCAACTTATTTTCTTTGGTTTTTATTGTACATGCTGGGGCTGATGTGTACTATGGCCATTGTCACGGCAAGGGTGCATAACTCATTATTGCACTATGGAATATTGTCTTTGAAGCTGGTGCCTCCACAAAGATCAGATGACCGAAGGGGTAATGTAAATTGCATAGGTATATGAAAAGGGAAAGATGGATCCTGTGATTAATCAAAGGCTCTGCAAGGTGTGAGATTCTACACTTGAAAAGCCTGAATGTCTGGCTTCAGCCATATGGCCTGTACTTCTTAATTGATGAGTCAATCTCTTTGGTATGTTAATGGACATTAGCCATGTTCCAGTATCATATCCAAAAATATTTACCCACAGAATAATAATTAAGCCTCCTTTTTGCTATATTTGGAATGTGACAAGCGCCATCTTCTTAACAAGCCCAAACATGTTTAGCATAGTTTAACCATATGGGAAGGGATTGTGATGCTATATTGGGTCGCAAGTAAGGTGTGTGACATATCTGTGGAATGGAAAAATAATAAATTCGTAGATGCAATTATTATTTCTGTAGCAGGTACATAAGAGAAGATAGAAACAAATGTTTCCATTTGGATTGATGTGGGTTTGGACACACGGGTGTGGTTACTAGTGTCTCTATAGATACGCCCTTACTCTACCTCTGGGTGGTAATCCACAGGGTATATCTCTAGTGATACTGAAGTGTGCCTTGTACTTGCTTGAGGGGCCAGAATCTAATTCTAAGTGAGTCACCATCTTTCTTACTAGAGACCCCCTGGAGCAGAAGTGTTACTTTGAAAAATTGAGTAAGTAATTAGGACTTTTTTTTTTGTAAATCTGTTTTTATTGAATTTTATAGAGATAGAGCAGCTCATTTCAATGCAATCATAAGCAGGTTAAGGTCATGCACGACCTGTTTGTACCTGCTATAATGTATTCAGATGTACAACGAGTATAACATTCAGTTTCAGTAATAATCAGTAATCTTCCTAGGTCAAAGCGATGTGAACAACCATAACTCAGCAACTATAAATTAACTTTCGCACATCTCTCTCCGTTTCATCTCAGTGTTCATGTATGTAGCACAGGGGTCTCACCGTGGGCTCTCCATGTCGTGTGTGGCTTATCATTAGAGGAATGACTGCCCATGAGGTCTGTCAGTCGGCGTGTAGTAATGGTGATAGCTAAGTGCTGTTTCAATTACACGCAATTCAGGTAATCTTATGCCTCCATGCGGTATCTGTAGTGTGGTTCAAGGTTTCAGCTGCCTAAACTACCCTGGCACCCTTTTTTCCATATGATTGTGTACGCCTTTGTCTCATCTAGAGATTTTATTTACCAAAAAAAACGCGCTAAATTAATCTGTAAACATAAAAGACAAATAATAGTGCAGACCATCTGATAATGGTAATGTACGTAATAAAATTCTTAGGGAAAAAAACTCACATGTCCCAGAGCCCTATCACCCCTGGCTCTGGGTTTAAAAGGCTCTTTGGGAGAGGGGATATCCCCACACTGCAGGGTATTCCAGAAGATGTATCCACTGGTGATTCTGTTATGCTGTGTGTAAAAAGAAGGGCAGGACCTCCAATTGAATAGTATCACAAGTTGATTTATTGCATAAAAAAGTTAAAACCCTTACTTGGGATGTGGTGGGTATTGGCTCGCAGAGTCACCCACATAAACGCATGAAACAAATAATTCAAAACGCTTCCTGATCGCAGTCCGGTCACGTGATCGCTCCCGGGTCCGCCCTCCAATGACGTTCGTGTGACGCGTTTCGCCCGCCTCCACAGGCTTCATCCGACGACGTCAGGGAGTTCTAGTCATCCTTTTAAGTCCATAGTGCCACCCCCTTCTCACTTCATTGGCCGGGGGGCGTGGTTTCGCACGATCTTTGTTCAGCAAGCAATCAATTGCACATATGTGGACTTCATTAAACTAAGATAAACTTAACCCCTTGTAACAACCAAACGGAATTAATTACATAAACACACAGTTAAAAACAGAATCTACACAGTGCTATTAGTTAAGGCTAATGGTATAGATAACCCTAGCCCTTACTTCGAATATATACATATAACATATCTAAAACTATCCAATATGGTAATTCCAGAAGAACTTTTAAAGAAACATTTCATTATTCAATTATGCTGTATCCTTATGCTTCAGAAACCCATAAATATACACAGTGAGCATTGCATAAGGTTAATCAATCCTCAATTCACATTTGCATTAATACTAAAGCAGACAATACAGGTTTTTAGTCGTTTCATAGACATTTATATATTTTTAACCCTATATTCAAAATAAGTAGTGAAAGTTTTTTACAGTTCTTTTGTAAGCATTTGTAAACTTTTATCCCTATATTCAGGGTACCTGCTCAAAAGGGAGAGTTAAAGAAAGAGAAGAATAGAAAAAATATTCATAAAAAATGACAAACTTCAAAATCTCCATTTAAACCTCTAGGGGACAACGATTTTAATTTAAACACCCACCTCATTTCTTGTTTTGCCAGTTTATTATCCAGATTCTCACCCCTCCAATTTCTACTGACTCTTTCCATCCCAATAAATTGTAGTTTAGTGACATCTCCCTGATGCTTCTGAACAAAGTGAGAAGACAGGGGGTGTTCTTTAAAACCTCTTTTTATATTTCGTACATGCTCTTCAATGCGAATATGCACTTGCCGAGTAGTTTTTCCGACATAGTGCATATTGCATGGACATGTAAGGACATAGATACAGTTGGTGGTATGGCAAGTTATCAATTGTTTAACACAATATGTTTGTTGTGTATTTCCACCTACCAGTTCCCTTTTAACACATTTGGGGGCTCCTGTAGTTCTACACGCCAAGCAGTACCCACACTGGAAAAAACCAATATCTTGGTTAAGGAAATTCCTATTTAGATTTTCTTGTTTAAGGCTGCTCTTTACTAAATGGCTCTTAATGCTCGGTATCCCCCTGTAAACGATCTTAGGTTTCTTTGGAATTATTTTTTCCAGCAGAGGGTCCTCCTTTAAAATAAACCAATATTTATTGATTATATTTTTCACTTCCTTATTCTTCCCTGAGTAATTAAAAATCAGAGAGACTTCGTTATTCTTATTATTTCTTTTATTTTTCATCTTTCTACTCGATTTATCGAATAGCTCCTTCCTATCAATTTTCCCCACCTCCTTATGGGCCTTATCCAGTAGAGTCTTAGGGTAGTGCTTAACTGTAAACTGTTCTACTAACTTATTTATTTGGATCTCACAAGTCTCTTCGCTCGTGCAGTTTCTTTTCAACCTTAGCATCTGTCCTTTGGGGATGTTGTCCAACCAGGGGCCATAGTGGCAACTGTCATAAAAAATAAAACTATTAACGTCCACCTTCTTAAAGAAGGTCTCTGTGTGTATTTGATGGTTGGAAATAAAAATACGTAGGTCCAAAAAATTGACCTGGTTGTCACTATGGTCCATAGTGAGCTGAATTCCCCATAAATTCGAATTCAAATGCGTCAAGAATGCAACTAGCTCTTCTGTAGAGCCCCTCCAAATCCAAAACAGATCGTCGATGTAACGGCGATAGGTGACCAGGCTCTGCACCCAGCCATGGTTCCCATATATAAAGGACTCCTCCCAATAGGACATAAATAGGTTCGCATAGCTGGGTGCGAACCTAGTCCCCATCGCCGTCCCAAGGATCTGTAGATAAAAAGAATCCAAAAAATGAAAATAATTATTAGTCAAAATGAGGTGGATGCCTTCCAAAATGAATGCTTGATGATCTGGAGATAAACTTGAGGAGGACAAGAAAAATCTAACAGCCTCTATACCTTTGGAATGTGGAATGATTGAATAGAGTGATGACACATCCGCCGTAACAAGGATGTCTCCATCCTTCCACTCAACCTCCTTTAGTATTTGGAGAATCTGGCTGGTATCCCTTAAATAGGCTTTGGTTTCTTTGACTAAAGGCTGCAAACACAAGTCGATATATTCCGACAAGGGGGCTGACACTGAACCTATCCCAGAGATGATGGGCCTCCCTGGTGGTCTAGTTTCATGCTTATGAATCTTCGGTAGAAAATAATATACGGGTATCTTGGGATAAGCAACAACCAGGTAGTCATACTCTGTTTTGGAGATAACCTCCATCGACAGGCCCCTATTCAGAAAGTTTAAAAATATATCCTTTTTCTCCTTGGTAGGGTCACCTTTCAGTTTTCTATATGTTATACCATCATTTAGTTGTCTCAATGATTCTTCTATATAGTATTCCCTATCCATAAGAACAATGCCACCCCCCTTGTCGGCTGGTTTAATGACGACTTCTTTGTTCTCTCTTAAATCAGCCAAAGCTTGTTGTTCCTCTTTATTTAGATTCATCCTATTCCTATTTATTCTTTTAATGCGTTCTACCTCTCGCATCACCAATTCCTCAAAGGTATCCATTGAGTTGGTCTTGCAACCTCTAGGAAAAAACGTAGATTTCTTTCTAAGTGAGGTGAGATTATGCCCTTCTTTTTGTTGTGCATCTCCTCTCAATTCATCGATAGTATCTGACTTCTCTTGAAAAAAACGCTTTAAACACAATTTTCTGACAAATTTTTTTAGATCTATATAAACTGAAAAGTGATCCACATTAGCTGTTGGGCAGAATTTTATCCCCCTCGCCAGTACTCTGTTTTGCATTGTGTTTAATGTAAGTTTCGAAAGATTATATATTCCCTTAATATCTTTATCCTTCCCCTTTTTCCTTCTCTGTATCTTATTTCCCCCTCTTGTTCCTCTCTTTCTATTCTTCTTTTTAACGGAGAGCTTGGAAGATTTAATTTGATTCTTTCTTTTCTTTTGTGTTCCCAATCTAAAAAATCCTTCGGGTGTCCTTCTTGTCCCTGGGTGACATGCCTGGTCTCGTGTCCATTAGACTCCATAGAGTCTATTGGCTTACGATGTAATCCCGGAGAAACCGGTTTCCATACATTAGATTCTAACCTTGATTTATGGTTTCTATCCCTCTCAGTTTCCTCTCTTTTGGTTGTATCTCTAACAGGTCTATTTGAAAACTGTCTCTCATACTTCTTGATTGGGGTATCGTCCCCCTGAACCTTTGCCCTCCACTGTTGGCTATGATTATATTTCCTCTGATTTTGTCTACTACCACTGAAGGATCTCCGTCTCCTTCTATAATGATATCTGTCTCCGTTATATTGTCTGTACCCCTGTTTATGTTGTTTTCTAGACTCATCATATTTCCGTGTAGGGTATTCAGTCCTAGACACATAATTCTGGGGTTCTAACCTTTCCCTTCTATTTTCAAAATTCCCCCTATGGAAAGCATGTACTTTGTTTCCCATATAGTCTGATTTGTCTCTCTGATACTTCTTTTTCTTAATTAGAATAACTTCCCTTTCTATTTTATTCATATCCTCCACAATCTCTTCTGAGTGTCTTTCCATCTCTCTAGATTCTAAAAAAGGAAGTAAAAGTTCTTTCATAGCCTTTATCTTCATGTCCAATTCCCTAAGATTAAACTGTCTTCTCTTAATTATAATTTTCAAAAGGCCTATAGATATCACATTTAAATATTGATCCCATTTCTCCATGAACTCCTCGCTATCTCTGTCAAAGGTGGGTGTTTTATTAAATCGCAACCCCCTTGGTACCATTTCCTCTTTAATATACTGTTCCAATGTGGCAATCTCCCACTTTATTTTTAATTCCTTGATGAGTAATTTTTGTAAATCTTTACAGAGTTCAGGTATTGTTCTGGGGATATTGGGAGTATCACAAATTATCTCTTCCCCAAAAATGTTATCCATAGACATAGTGATTTTCCCAGCAAGCTCACAAACAAGAACACAATAAAAGCACCAAGCAGATACAGTGAACTAAAAACACAAAATATTGGTAAATATTATCTTTCCTTACACATTTCTTGTGCATTGTATTTCTAACGCTGCCATATTATCTGTATTGGATTTTATAGCGCTCACATATTGGGTTTTTTTTTTGTGTTTTTAGTTCACTGTATCTGCTTGGTGCTTTTATTGTGTTCTTGTTTGTGAGCTTGCTGGGAAAATCACTATGTCTATATTTGAGGCAAGAAAAAAATATTGTTCCAATCTGGGAACACAAAAGAAAAGAAAGAATCAAATTAAATCTTCCAAGCTCTCCGTTAAAAAGAAGAATAGAAAGAGAGGAACAAGAGGGGGAAATAAGATACAGAGAAGGAAAAAGGGGAAGGATAAAGATATTAAGGGAATATATAATCTTTCGAAACTTACATTAAACACAATGCAAAACAGAGTACTGGCGAGGGGGATAAAATTCTGCCCAACAGCTAATGTGGATCACTTTTCAGTTTATATAGATCTAAAAAAATTTGTCAGAAAATTGTGTTTAAAGCGTTTTTTTCAAGAGAAGTCAGATACTATCGATGAATTGAGAGGAGATGCACAACAAAAAGAAGGGCATAATCTCACCTCACTTAGAAAGAAATCTACGTTTTTTCCTAGAGGTTGCAAGACCAACTCAATGGATACCTTTGAGGAATTGGTGATGCGAGAGGTAGAACGCATTAAAAGAATAAATAGGAATAGGATGAATCTAAATAAAGAGGAACAACAAGCTTTGGCTGATTTAAGAGAGAACAAAGAAGTCGTCATTAAACCAGCCGACAAGGGGGGTGGCATTGTTCTTATGGATAGGGAATACTATATAGAAGAATCATTGAGACAACTAAATGATGGTATAACATATAGAAAACTGAAAGGTGACCCTACCAAGGAGAAAAAGGATATATTTTTAAACTTTCTGAATAGGGGCCTGTCGATGGAGGTTATCTCCAAAACAGAGTATGACTACCTGGTTGTTGCTTATCCCAAGATACCCGTATATTATTTTCTACCGAAGATTCATAAGCATGAAACTAGACCACCAGGGAGGCCCATCATCTCTGGGATAGGTTCAGTGTCAGCCCCCTTGTCGGAATATATCGACTTGTGTTTGCAGCCTTTAGTCAAAGAAACCAAAGCCTATTTAAGGGATACCAGCCAGATTCTCCAAATACTAAAGGAGGTTGAGTGGAAGGATGGAGACATCCTTGTTACGGCGGATGTGTCATCACTCTATTCAATCATTCCACATTCCAAAGGTATAGAGGCTGTTAGATTTTTCTTGTCCTCCTCAAGTTTATCTCCAGATCATCAAGCATTCATTTTGGAAGGCATCCACCTCATTTTGACTAATAATTATTTTCATTTTTTGGATTCTTTTTATCTACAGATCCTTGGGACGGCGATGGGGACTAGGTTCGCACCCAGCTATGCGAACCTATTTATGTCCTATTGGGAGGAGTCCTTTATATATGGGAACCATGGCTGGGTGCAGAGCCTGGTCACCTATCGCTGTTACATCGACGATCTGTTTTGGATTTGGAGGGGCTCTACAGAAGAGCTAGTTGCATTCTTGACGTATTTGAATTCGAATTTATGGGGAATTCAGCTCACTATGGACCATAGTGACAACCAGGTCAATTTTTTGGACCTACGTATTTTTATTTCCAACCATCAAATACACACAGAGACCTTCTTTAAGAAGGTGGACGTTAATAGTTTTATTTTTTATGACAGTTGCCACTATGGCCCCTGGTTGGACAACATCCCCAAAGGACAGATGCTAAGGTTGAAAAGAAACTGCACGAGCGAAGAGACTTGTGAGATCCAAATAAATAAGTTAGTAGAACAGTTTACAGTTAAGCACTACCCTAAGACTCTACTGGATAAGGCCCATAAGGAGGTGGGGAAAATTGATAGGAAGGAGCTATTCGATAAATCGAGTAGAAAGATGAAAAATAAAAGAAATAATAAGAATAACGAAGTCTCTCTGATTTTTAATTACTCAGGGAAGAATAAGGAAGTGAAAAATATAATCAATAAATATTGGTTTATTTTAAAGGAGGACCCTCTGCTGGAAAAAATAATTCCAAAGAAACCTAAGATCGTTTACAGGGGGATACCGAGCATTAAGAGCCATTTAGTAAAGAGCAGCCTTAAACAAGAAAATCTAAATAGGAATTTCCTTAACCAAGATATTGGTTTTTTCCAGTGTGGGTACTGCTTGGCGTGTAGAACTACAGGAGCCCCCAAATGTGTTAAAAGGGAACTGGTAGGTGGAAATACACAACAAACATATTGTGTTAAACAATTGATAACTTGCCATACCACCAACTGTATCTATGTCCTTACATGTCCATGCAATATGCACTATGTCGGAAAAACTACTCGGCAAGTGCATATTCGCATTGAAGAGCATGTACGAAATATAAAAAGAGGTTTTAAAGAACACCCCCTGTCTTCTCACTTTGTTCAGAAGCATCAGGGAGATGTCACTAAACTACAATTTATTGGGATGGAAAGAGTCAGTAGAAATTGGAGGGGTGAGAATCTGGATAATAAACTGGCAAAACAAGAAATGAGGTGGGTGTTTAAATTAAAATCGTTGTCCCCTAGAGGTTTAAATGGAGATTTTGAAGTTTGTCATTTTTTATGAATATTTTTTCTATTCTTCTCTTTCTTTAACTCTCCCTTTTGAGCAGGTACCCTGAATATAGGGATAAAAGTTTACAAATGCTTACAAAAGAACTGTAAAAAACTTTCACTACTTATTTTGAATATAGGGTTAAAAGTATATAAATGTCTATGAAACGACTAAAAACCTGTATTGTCTGCTTTAGTATTAATGCAAATGTGAATTGAGGATTGATTAACCTTATGCAATGCTCACTGTGTATATTTATGGGTTTCTGAAGCATAAGGATACAGCATAATTGAATAATGAAATGTTTCTTTAAAAGTTCTTCTGGAATTACCATATTGGATAGTTTTAGATATGTTATATGTATATATTCGAAGTAAGGGCTAGGGTTATCTATACCATTAGCCTTAACTAATAGCACTGTGTAGATTCTGTTTTTAACTGTGTGTTTATGTAATTAATTCCGTTTGGTTGTTACAAGGGGTTAAGTTTATCTTAGTTTAATGAAGTCCACATATGTGCAATTGATTGCTTGCTGAACAAAGATCGTGCGAAACCACGCCCCCCGGCCAATGAAGTGAGAAGGGGGTGGCACTATGGACTTAAAAGGATGACTAGAACTCCCTGACGTCGTCGGATGAAGCCTGTGGAGGCGGGCGAAACGCGTCACACGAACGTCATTGGAGGGCGGACCCGGGAGCGATCACGTGACCGGACTGCGATCAGGAAGCGTTTTGAATTATTTGTTTCATGCGTTTATGTGGGTGACTCTGTGAGCCAATACCCACCACATCCCAAGTAAGGGTTTTAACTTTTTTATGCAATAAATCAACTTGTGATACTATTCAATTGGAGGTCCTGCCCTTCTTTTTACACACAGCATAACAGAATCACCAGTGGATACATCTTCTGGAATACCCTGCAGTGTGGGGATATCCCCTCTCCCAAAGAGCCTTTTAAACCCAGAGCCAGGGGTGATAGGGCTCTGGGACATGTGAGTTTTTTTTCCCTAAGAATTTTATTACGTACATTACCATTATCAGATGGTCTGCACTATTATTTGTCTTTTATGTTTACAGATTAATTTAGCGCGTTTTTTTTGGTAAATATTATCTTTCCTTACACATTTCTTGTGCATTGTATTTCTAACGCTGCCATATTATCTGTATTGGATTTTATAGCGCTCACATATTGTTTTTTTTTTTTTTTCATCTAGAGATTTATCCATGAGGTGTGCTTTTTGGTGTGTTTTCTCCCCCTCGCCCCAGTTAGGCTAGACCAGGATGAGAACGTGTCTCTATAGTGTGATTGTCTGTGAGCCAGCTGTGTATGCGTGCAAAGAGAAAAGAGTGTGAACTGTAGGTAGGTGAGCTGAGGTTAAAAGGAGGGAAAAGAGGAGAAGAAGGGTTCCCTCATGTCTCCATTTCCGCGTGACATGTGGCGAGGCATAATAGCCCTCCAGCTTTTTTTTTTTGTCAGTAAGTTGAAGTATAGGAAAAGTGTGGGTCTCGCCCCGAGGGTCCGATATCCCCCCCCCGCGGGCCCTCCCTTACCGTCCTACCGGTCCCTAGATACAAATGCAAACCATGGTCACCACATCTCTGTGTGTCTGTCCCCTCTGCCAAGCGGGGATGCTTGCCCTCCACTCTGTGGATCCACTCTTCTGTACTAGGTGTCTGTTTTTTTCCAGTATATAGGTATCAGAGCTTTAGCTGCATTGAGTAGGTGGCGTAGGATCGACTTCCTATATCCTGCGATCGACGTCTGCGAGATATGTAGGAGTGCTAGGGCTGCTGTCCAAACAGGGATTTCTCCTAGAACTTCAGTTATGTTTTGTCTTATCATTTTCCAATATGGAGCAAGTGAGCTGCATTCCCGCCAGATGTGTATCATCGTGCCTCTCTCTGCTTGGCACTTCCAACATGTCGGGGGCGTTGACGGGAAGATCTTGTGTAGCAGCGTCTGGGTCCGGTATCATAGTGCAATGATTTTATAATTTGTTTCCTGGTAAAATGAGCCAATGGAACTCTTGTGTTGCCAGAGTAAAGCGCCTTCCCATTGTGAAGATGTAAAAGTGGTGTCGAGCATAGTCTCCCATTGCCTGTGAAAGGTATTATTTTCCGTGAGGTGTCCGATCAGGAGATGTTGGTAAAGCGTGGATATCGTTTTTTCTATAGAGGAGCCCTTTTCACATAGTGCTTCGAACCACGATAGGACTTTATGTAGGCGGTCTTTTTTGTGCATGCTATCATAAAAGTGTTTCACCTGCATATATCGGAGTACTGCCAGAGGGCTCCGGGGTGTGCCCCCTAGCAAGGAGTCCAGGGAGGACTAATGTTATTTCATCCCTTTTGTTTTAATCTGTTGTTGGTGTAAATAATTTTGATTGTCATCTATATTTTTGTATGCACTGTGACTATTTTTTGCTCATAATAAATATTCCTTTATTAAGTTCTGCCTTTGTCTGGTAAAGAATCACGTTACCTGAAGAGACTAGTAAGCATTTCGCAATTACATAGATATTATGCTAAGTTACATTTGATTTTTTTTTAATTATTATTATTGATTTACCTAGGGGACCAAGGCACCCCATTTATAAATTGTCTTGGTGGTGGCAGCGTTAAAATAGTAATATTTATATTATTATGCTTAAGTGTGAGTGGTGTTAAGTGGGATTTTATCATTATTTCTGGTCTAATGCAAACAAATAATGAACTTTAAACCCTTCACCACCACAACTACATCACGCACACTCTTTAAGTAGGGTGTGTTCGTGAACATCATTGCTAGTGGGAGTTTGAGCGCAGGACTTATTTTGGTGTAGAATGCTAAACTTGTCTACGTACCACTGTTGCAGAGGTGTAACTAGAAACCCTTTGGCCCCAGTGCAAAAATTGCCCTGGCCCCCCCCCACCCCCAATGTCTCATTTCCCCATTTGTCTCATTCCCCCCCACGTCCCCTCCATGTGTCTCATCCCCCCCAAGTGTCTCATTTCCTCCCCCCATGTGTAACATTCCCTCCACTCAAGCCCCTCCACATGTCTCATTCCCTCCAAACCTCTTAATGTGTCTTATCCCCCCAAAGACCCTCTCTGTGTCTCATTCCCCCCAGGCACCTGAATGTCTTTCTCCCCCTCCACTCTTATACCGCCATATGTTTCAGTCCCTCTCCCCCCCTCCCAAGTGTCTAATTTCACCCACAAGCCACTCCGAGTGTCTTTTGTTCCTCCTCCACGTCTCTCTCTCTCCCTTTGCAGCTCCTCCATTTCTCCCTCCCCCTCCAGCCACTCCACTTCTGTCCATCCTCCCCTCCTCTATAGTTTCCCTGCAGCCCCTCCATTTCTCCCCCCCTTCCCCTACAGTCCCTCCATTTCTCCCCCCCTTCTGCTACAGACCCTCCATTTCTCCACCCCTGTAGACCCTCCATTCCCCCTTCCCCGGCAGACCCTCCATTTATCCACCCTCTTTCCCCGGCAGACCCTCAATTTCTCACCCCCTCACCTGGAGACTTGCAGACTCCCCATTCCTCCTGCTTCCTCTTGCAGCCCCTCCATTCCTCCACCACCTTTCCACTGCAAACCTTCCATTTCTCCCCCCTCTTTCCCCGGCAGACCCTCCATTTCTCACCTCCTCACCTGCACACTCGCAGTCTCCCCATTCCTCCCGCTTCCCCTTGCAGCTCCTCCATTTCTCCCTCCCCCTCCACTTCTGTCCATCCTCCCTCCCTCACCTTAGTTCTCCCCCCCCACCCTTTCCTGCAGCCCCTCCATTTCTCCCCCCCTTCCCCTAAAGTCCCTCCATTTCTCCCCCTCTTCCCCTACAGTCCCTCCATTTCTCCCCCCCCTTCTGCTGCAGACCCTCCATTCGCCCTTCCCCGGCAGACCCTCCATTTATCCACCCTCTTTCCCTGGCAGACCCTCCATTTCTCACCCCCTCACCTGCAGACTCCCCATTCCTCCTGCTTCCTCTTGCAGCCCCTCATTCCTCCACCCCCTTTCCCTACAGACCTCATTTCTCCCCCTCTTTCCCGGCGGACCTCCATTTCTCACCTGCACTTTCGCAGACTCCCATTCCTCCGCTTCCCCTTGCAGCCCCCTCCATTTCTCCCCCCCTTCCGCTGCAGACCCTCCATTTCTCCCCCTCTTCCTCTGCAGACTCTCCATTTATCCACCCTCTTTCCCCAACAGACCCTCCATTTCTCACCCCCTCACCTGCAGACTCTCCATTCCTCCTGCTTCCTCTTGCAGCCCCTCCATTTCTCCCCCCCTTCCGCTGCAGACCCTCCATTCCCTCTCCCCCTTCCCTTGCAGCCCCATTTCTCCCCCACTTTGCAGTCCTCCATTTCTCCCCCTTCCCCTGCAGACCCTCCATTCCCTCCACCCCCTTTCCTGCAGACCCTCCATTCCTCCACCCCTTTCCCCTGCAGACCCTCTATTCCCTCCCCCTTTTCCCACAGACCCTCCATTTCTCCCCGGCAGACCCTCATTTCTCCCGGCAGACCCTCCATTTCTCCCCCTCTTTCCCCTGCAGACCCTTCATTTCTTCCCCCCTCTCCCTGGCAGACCCTCCATTTCACCCCAGCAGACCCTCCATTTCTCCCCCTCTTTCCCCTGCAGACCCTTCATTTCTTCCCCCCCTTCCTGGCAGACCCTCCATTTCACCCCCCTTTTCCGGCAGTTCACCCCCTCCGGCAGACCCTCCATTCACCCCCTTTTCGGCAGACCCTCATTTCTCCCCTCTTTCCCTTGCAGCCCTCCATTTTCTCCCCACTTCCTGCAGTCCCTCTATTTCTCCAGCCCTTCCCCTGCAGACCCTCCATTTCTCCCCCTTTCCCTTACAGACCCTCCATTTCTGCCCCCCCCTCTCCTGGCAGACCCTCCATTTCTCCTCCCCTTTCCCATGCAGACCCTCCATTTCTCCCCCCTCCCTGGCAGACCCTCCCATTCCCCCCCTCTTTCCCTTGCAGACCCTCCATTTCTTCCCCTCCTGGCGGACCCTCCATTTCACCCCCCTTTCCGTCCAGACCCTACATTTCTCCCCCCCCCTCCTGTTTGCCACTCTGTGAGCACTTCCTGTCAGACCACTCGGCCGCGCTACACACAGCAGCAGGAGGGGAACAGCACATCACATCGCTCCCCTCCTGCAGGGATTGCAGTGGCGGCCGGCCCCCTGGAGTGACTGTAGTTACGCCACTGTACTGTTGTATCTGTTTTACAGAGTCTGAGTAATCCAGTTTCCATATAACATGTCTAGTGTTGCCTACTCCTTATTGTATTCAGCCTAATAATTCCCAAAGTAATGTGAAGATGCTTGATCCTCATAACTGATTTTTTCTCATTGCTCACCACCTTTGTTTTCTGTCGGATGACATATTGATCTATTGAGTAAACGTGCATATCATTTTCAGTTTACCACCCTTTTAGTACAGTGTAGAAAGAAAGCATTACAAAATGGACATGATTTATTGTTTATTGTTTTGTGTGACCCCCAAAAGAAATAGAAAATAATCCCTTCTTTTGCAGTAAATCCTTCTGATCCCTCAGCCAATCCTGAACGTGTAGGATGTCTCATTTATGTATTGTCACTAATTTCCACATTGTATCTTTCCATAAACAGTAAGTGGTCTTTACATTTTCTCTGCAAAGTGTAGGCTACCGTTAAAGCAGCACTGTAACACTGCCTTCACTTTTGTAACACTTTTTTAAAAACATATGCTGTCTTCTTAAATCAGGGTGCGTGTTTTGTGATCTGTTAAAACTGTGATACTTTTTTTTTCCTTTTACAGTTTTATTTACAAATACAATTTAAATATCTTAAATCCAAAGTTTTAAGATATAAATACTGTGATGGAACGCTGTCACTGAGTACCATGCCGTCATGTGCCCCCACACTTGTCCAGTCACATTGAGAACAAAGACCACAAGTCTGTCTATTTCTAGGGGGGAAGATATGTGATGGATGGCCTGATTTGTTTTGCGCAAGCCACAAGCTTGTGGCGCCATTTTTGTGACAGTTTCCATGTATTTAGATATTGCTGTATTGTGTACCTGTATTCTACATAGAGCAGTGTGTGTGTCTGTATATGCAGCTGTGGGTCAACAAAGGGGGGTGGGGGGAGGTAACTACTGTAAAGAATCACTTTGTTGCTTTGTAGTTCTTTCTCTGGTACCTGTTATGCATTTCCATTGGTGAACGTTTTGTAGAATTGTATGGAGACCCATTGCTGGGGATCTGTGGATAAATTGGCTGTACCATGTCCCATTAAACAGTTCATTCCAGTTGACTCCCAGGACTATGTTTCGTCTGGTTACTGGGGGAATGGGTACTTACTTGTGCTGATGGTTCCAGAGTGGCTAAAGGAAGGTAATAGCGGAGGTAACCAGTCTGGTTACCCGTAGTCCGCTACAAATACATTCTGATAAAATCTTGATTTTAAATTGTGGTGTGGTGTTTATATTTTGCAAAGCTACCACTCAGGGTAGAGGGCGACTTACAGGGAGGCATTGTGTTGGGGAAACAAGGGAGGTTTACTTACCCAAACTCTCTGTAAGCCTTCCATAACTTTATTATCGTTAGAGGCGGTGTGTCTACCCTCAGTTATAAAAGTGCTGATTTTCTATTGAAATATGACAGACTCCAAACACATCTGAAGTGCTTTATGTTTCTGGAGTGTTCCTATAGGTCTTACTGAACAGAGGTTTCTAAGATATGCTCGGCCTTTCAATAGAATATTAGAATTGGCTGAGCCACTTCCTACTATGGTGGGAGGTCACTGCAGGAGCTGCAAAGTTTGTGGTTTTACAGAAACGTCAAAAACAAGGATTTATTTTACTCATTTTTAACATATTGCATTAGACAAGTCCTCCACAGCTTTTTGTGTTCTTTGTGCTCTCAGCCACTGTAGACTTTAGAATTTTTCGCTCCCTTTCACTTATTAATAATCAAATGTAACAAGATGAGGCGCATGCTCAAGAGAATAGCAGTGATGTCGGCTCAGAAGAAGACTGTCCGGAAAGAGATGTCGGCGCCCGCAAGGGACAGGTTCAGGTAAGTAAATCTCCCCTTTACCTGCCCCCTCCGGTCACTGGACTACCAATGTCACTGTTGGGGGTCTTTGCAAATTATGCAAAGTCCCCAGACGGTGACAGTGCTGCTTTAAAACATGTCAGACTTGGAGAATGTTCCCAATTTGATCGTAAAATTTCCAATGATTCACTTTTTGCTACAACCATTTTCACGTGATGGAATAATGGAAATTGTAAAATGCATTTAACCCTAACCAATTAGATCAAACACAGTTCTTAGAGGTTAGAAGTTTGGCATTCGGTTTATGGCTAGGCATCTGAGAGCATACCTTAAAACAACCATTATTCTAAGCTACAGCATATGGCTCCAGTAAAACCCCTTTTGCCACCCCTGATACACCACTCCACTCTGTCACCATGCATCTCATTTTATCACCTCTGCCTTCTTGCTTTTGTACCTTTATCTGCCTTGCCATCCCTTACTCCCTCTGTTTTCACCATTAAAATTTCTTCATCATCTCTCACCTTTAACCTTCCAGCAAAATCAAACTACTCTTAGTGACTTTTGTAACAATCTTTCTCCTGCTAAAACATATGCTGTCTTCTTAAATCAGATTATGTGTTTTGCGATCTGTTAAAACTGATACTTTTCTTTTACAGTTTTATTTACAAATACAATTTTTCTTAAATCCAAAGTTTTAAGACATAAATACATTCTGGTAAAATCACGATTTTCTATCCTATACCATACAGAGATATCGTGCAAAACTAACGTAGAATGAATTTTGTAAAAAGCTAATCACATTCTCATTATTGTGGGAGAAATGAGCAGATACACCTGGTTGTATGTGTTAAGTCTTTTCTCTGTCTTTCTTCATTGGCCAAGATGACTGCTTGAAACTTCTGCACAAGGAGGCAAATTAGAAAGATAATGCACTATCCTTTATGTCCTTGTTAAAATAATTGAGCTTATCGATGTATGTCCAGACTTTACAGGACACTAGGCCATAGTACGTTTTCATCACGGTACAGTCTTCTCCCTCATTCATATCTCTCCAAGCAGAAGACAGTTCTCTATCATCCTCTATGGAAGAAGAGAAAATGAATTTGTAGCAACATCTGTTATATCTGATGTGCCGTGTGCCTGAAAATCGAGAACTATGAGTAGAAAGAATTCCTGCTCTTAGAGCACAAATGCCAACAAAGACATCAGATGGTACTAAAGTGGTGACCAGCTCTGACACAAGATAGACCTTACGGACCACATCTTGAGACATGACCATGGCAGCCCCACTGCAGTAATCCGGGTAGTATGTTTCTGAGTAAGATGATACTGGGACAAAGTTGGGACTCTGTGGATCCTTGTCTGGTAAACTTTGGTGGATCACTCGTCCAGTGTACAGATCTTCAGAATTTGTTTCCAAACCAAGCAGATAGTCAGCCAAGCTTTTTATGTTGACAAACATATTTTGTTCAGTCTTAAGAACAAACCTAGCAGTGGGGCAAAATGTAACCACCCATTCCATCATCATGATCATCTTCAATGTTTCATTGTGATAGGTATCTAGAAAGCTTCCTTCAATTATGTCGCTGTATATTTGTGATTCATTGACAATTTCAGATTGGATGGTTTCCGAGACCGGCATCCCCAAAGCAAAGATTGTGATTACAGCCCTACCTTTGTAGGCTGTTACATTACCCCAAGTATCTCTGATTGTCCTCCTCCTGGTCTTATTCTCAGGGCTACAGAATACTACAGATAGCAAGAAGACCTCTCGTTCCGAGCACACATCTGGACCGCTAATTAAATATGACTTGGATATATTGTCTTTCATGAGATGCAAGTCCAATTTTCTGGCCTGTTCTCGAATTTCCATGAATTTTGCATCTGTATAGGAAAAGGGAGGAGACTGAAGAAAATATTCCTCCATGAAGTCTGCTCCAAATAGAAGGGCATGGAAGAGGACAATATTGAATAGGATGAAACACCATTGGTGAGTACGTAGCCGGCAGAATGTTACCTAGGATAGGACAAGATGAAATGTATTTAACAGAATTTACCTAAAGCTATGCAATATTTAACATGAGAAAAATCTTTCAAATATTTCACATTTATCTTCTAACTGAACTACACATTTGATTTAGAAAAACATTTGCAAATGGCCCATTCACTAAACTCCCCATCTCAATCAGTATCAATGTGCGTTACTTACACGAATATTAATAATCCCAAGACGCACAATGGTAAAAGGTAAATAATTTTTTTTGTTTTGTGAATATGTATGAATATGGAGCATCTAAAGAATTCTTGAGGTTAATATAAGAAGACCCCACAGATGTTTATAAACTACAATCCCCATAATGCCATGCCAATGTCACAGGAGCTGGGCCTTTTGAATATTTCATGTACAATTTCTCTAGTATTGAAGAAACTAGAATTTTTAGAAGGAGATTAACGTTGACTTGTAAGGATGCAAAGCATTTCTATTAATGTGTATATGGCCCTTTAAACGGTCACCATCGTAAGCAAAGTTAATTGTCTGTGAATTCATTTAGCAGTAGGCTAATGAGACATGCTGAATTAACTGGAACTCTTTGTGCCAATTTACATATTAATACAGTATGTAAGCCATGAAAGTGTTAAGACAAAACAATAAGAGAAAGGAACAACAGAGTTTCTGTTGTGGATTGCTGCACTGCAATGTGACATTTTCTTTTAGACAGCCTTTTTATAATACTATGGGCTACAGTCATATTAATTTAAAAGGACATAGTCAGTTGATCTAGTGAGAAATCAATTTCACGTCTAAAAGATCTGATTGTTTTATCAACGTCTCAGAATTTAGCTGCAACCCCATCCTTAAATAATACACTCTCTGCCATAAAGTATTGTTTTAGCTAAATGACATTCGCACTTACCTGCATTGTAATAAGAAATGACTTGCACAGATGACTTTTGTAGCTGAATTTTCATGTCATATAACGTGCCTTCAGTCGATGGATATTGTACCCCCCAAACCCTGCAACCAGCTGCTTTTGGCGAGGGCTTTGCAGGTAAAATTACTTTTTGCAGATAACCTGATCCTTGTTTTCAATGTGCTGGAAATAGGATAGCGGTTAGGTATCAGATAGCATCAAAGTGGCACACAGGATGGGCTGAACCTCTGTGCTGTGAGTAGAGGATAAAACACCTGTACAGAATGTTTTTTTTTTTGTTGTTGTTGTTTTGTTTTTTAACTTAATTGGCAATTGTGGGGAATTGACGAAGGAATGGAGAATGTTTGAAGGTCAGCTATTGTGACCTACACATTGCAGTTCCCTTGTCAATGTCCCCAAAATTTCCAGACTAGTCTGTGCAGCACATTTCTATTTCTCTAGTGTAAGCACTACTTACTGAATATTTGGGTATTTATTAAAAATCCAGCTCATCAGCTGAAAAGGGTCATTAGGGTTTATCAAATAAACAGACATTGTTACACTTTTTATTTTTTTATTACCAATACGTTATAATACAAATTTCAAAATGAACCAAACATGATTGTTTATCTAGTAATAATTTAAAGTTGTATTATAAATGTCCCCTTTTCAACCAGCTGAGCTATTTCAAATTGGCACATTAATTGCAGGTATGGACCTAAACATGACAATGCCAGGGTTATCCACTAAAATGAGAATTCAACGTAAATTTCAAATTCAAGGAAAAACTAGTTAGACATTCTCTAAATCAGCTCTGCTTCCAGTCTGACTACTTTGGCCTTAAATCTGAAATTCACCTTGAATTCTCACTTCAGCGTATAACCCTGAGTAGTAATGTCATGCGGTAGGGTAACCCTGGCCATACTCCGATGGCTGCCTGTCATATGTTGGGCAGGTTCAGGTGTTCAATAACTGATAATAGCTCATCAGTCTTAACCACTCTTTAATTATCAATACAGAAAGTTTTTGGTTTTATTTTACTGAAATATCAAACTGCAGACAAACTAGATTTTCAGGATAACACACAGGGCATTGCATTCCTAGCGGTTCATATTGTATTAAATGCAGGACTACATAGAACCAGATAAAACTGCCGCAAGCGAGCAATATCATGTGTTAAAAGACCACTAAGTCACCCATCTCAAAATGGTCTTGGCGCAGTGATTCTGTCCTTTTAACCCTGCAATATAAAACAAGAAACCACAATGTTTACATTGCGGGGATAAATCCTTCTCTAGTGGCTAGCATACTGACAGCCACTAGAGGCGCTTCTGCAGCACTGACTGAATAAAACTCAAGTCACATGACGCGGAAACCCCCATAGCAAAGCATTGATTCAATGAGCTTGGATATGCATGTGGCTCTCACTGCGCATCAGGTCCCCAATGCTCCACTGTTGGTAACATCTGATTGGACTATCATGGAGGAGGTATATCTATATTATTACAGGACCACTATAGTGCCCTGAGGGTGCCCCCACCCTCAGGGACCCCCTCCCGCCGGGCTCTGGGGAGAGGAAAGGGTTAAATCTTACCTTTTTCCCAGCGCCGGGCGGGGAGTTCTCCTCCTCCTCTTCGGCTGAATGCGCATGTGCGGCAGGAGCTGCACACGCATTCAGCCAGTCTCATAGGAAAGCATTCATAATGCTTTCCTATGGACGCTGGCGTCTTCTCACTGTGATTTTCACAGTGAGAAGCACACAAACGCCTCTAGCGGCTGTCAATGAGACAGCCACTAGAGGCTTTAGAGGCTGGATTAACCCTAATATAAACATAGCAGTTTCTCTGAAACTCCTATGTTTATAAAAAAAAAAGGGTGAATCCTAGAGGGACCTGGCACCCAGACCACTTCATTAAGCTGAAGTGGTCTGGGTGCCTAGAGTGGTCCTTTAACATTTTGCTGTATGTGATCCAATTCTCCATTCTTCCTTTCTTACTGTTTTACCCTATGTGATCTGACACTCTACTTCTATTCATTATCTTGTTGTACGCTGTATGGGATAATTCTACATGCTAATTTTTTTAATATAATATTCCATAATAACTTTTTTCATCAGGTTTAAAATCCTGCTGTGTTCTTGCTGTACCTTACATCCAGGTGAAATTAATTATTATTTATATAATTTTACCAGGTGCCAAAATGACCATAAAACTCTACCATCAGAGGTTTAACCATCAATGAACCTTTCCAAGAAGTGGGATGTATCGCGATTCCTGTCCTTTGGGATTTACAGCATGGCACTAATGCCTTGAATCTCCAGTTATAATAAAGGTAATCAGCTCTGATGTTTTTAACATTCTGCATTCATTTTAACTATTTTGTTAGATCACACTTTATTGAATAACAAAATGTGTGCGAAATTCACTATCAACACATTATAAAGGAATGCAGTGCTTGTATTGCTGAGCCATACTGCTGCCTTGGCATCTGGGACGTGTGGTCCTTTGCTGCTAGAGTCCTATCCATGCCATTCCTTACTTAGTAGTGTAAATGGGGTATTAAAGGACCACTATAGGCACCCAGACCACTTCAGCTTAATGAAGTGGTCTGGGTGCTAGGTCCAGCTAAGTTTAACCCTTTTTGCTGCAAACATAGCAGCTTCAGAGAAAATGCTATGTTTACCCATGGGTTAATCCAGCCTCTAGTGGCTGTCTCATTGACAGCCGCTAGAGGCGCTACCGCGCTTCTCACTGTGATTGCGCATGCGCATTCAGCCAGGGACACCAGAAGAGGGAGGAGAGTCCCGGCACTGGAAAAAAGGTAAGGGATTAACCCCTACCGTGCCACGGGAGTGGGACCCTGAGGGTGGGGGCACCCTCAGGGCACTATAGTGCCAGGAAAACGAGTTTGTTTTCCTGGCACTATAGTGGTCCTTTAATCAGAGATTTGTGGGATTTTTTTTTCTTCTTTAATGTACCTTTTACTTTTCAACATACAATAATAATTTTATTTAAACCCACGTATCCATGCACTTGGTGTGCTACCAGTCACGAACACAAAAGTATCCACATCATAATATAATTCCCCCCCATCCAAGAAAACAATACAGTTGAAGACAGACTATGATTCTGTCATCAGTTAATACATAGCTGGAGAATGACTCATGCTCTCTGTCTTATTGTATATAGAGGTGAAGCCTTGATCTGTGTCACAGCAGGTTTCAGAAAGCAGCAATAACCTTTAGTAGCAAGATACCTACTCATTACAGCAGGCAACAAATGTGCTAGCGGTATAGGGCAGATTTGTTATAAAATGCCTCGTGATCATTCCAGAGATGTGGGCCTACTGGCTTCTATAGCATGATCAACAAAGCAAGCCTGTGGGAAAGCATTATTTTTTTTTTTGCAGGATTCCAATGTGATGTATTTATTGTGACACGTCCATCCAATAAGAATATTGATACGTCGAGATCTGATTGCCATTAACACAGATTGGCAACTGTGTATAGACTATTAGTGACACTATGTGCAGACTCCCAGGTCTATAGTTGATACAAAACACTTTCAAGGAAAAGAACAAAACCCAAGATACAAAAAAAAAAGGTAGCCAGAGTTGGAATGAATTTAATTCCTTTCAAAATACGCAACGCCAACAATTCCACATAGAGTTCCTCTTTGTTACGATTGCCATACGTCAGAATTATAAATCTTATATACAATTAATACCGGCGAGGAAGACCACTCAATTCCAGGTCCACAGTGGGATTGAGAAGGTGAGGATTGGTCTGCACAGATTCGTGGGCTGGAATGCTGGAGGTTTTCACCAAAGGGTCGGGGGGAATAGTCCCCATAGTCTTTTGTGCAAAGAAATGTAAAATTAATCTGGAAGGAAATGGGATGTTTTGGTCCAGAATGGGAAAATTTACTGGACTCCTTCTTCTTCCACGTAGGTTGAAGGAAACCAGCCAATCTGTAGGAAGGACATGGATGTCAGCACACAGTAAGTTGACGGCCAACATTGTTAAAGCATCCCAGATATTTCATGCAGCTCAGATAACCACAAGGGGTAAAACAGCTGCAGGGTAGCGATCATCTATTTCATGCAAAAATTTGTCTCTTTCGCAGCAGAACGGTTAACGCAGCTCTGTCACTATTTCATTTTTCATGAAGTTACAATATTCATGAAAAACTCCTAAAACTATTTAGCTTTCAGTGAATTTCTAAACAGGATCAGATGATATACAAAGGACAAAATAGGGACTACTCTGCTTCATATTTGACCCCATTGTTAGCGAAATGTGGCAATGGCAGGAACTTTGCCAACATTTCTCATCAGTAATTACTTGCAACATGGATTTTATTGCATGAAGCAGAACAGATACTTAATCCATCTCATACACGCACGCACGAAAAAAAAAAAAAAGTGCATTTGTCAGATGAAGCCAATACCGGGGACATATATCTACTTTCCTTCTCTCCTCTGCTATGTTAGGGGAAAGGGGGTTTGGGATATAAAAATGTACAAAACTGACACTGCTGCTGGACCTTTTAATAAACAAAACCACCAAAAGTGGTAATTTTAAAGGGACACTCCAGGCACCCAGACCACTTCTGCCCATTGGAGTGGTCTGGGTGCCAACTCCCACTACTCTTAACCCTGCAACTGTAATTATTGCAGTTTTTTTTATAAACTGCAATAATTACCTTACATGGTTAACTCCACCTCTAGTGGCTCTCTACTAGACAGCCACTAGAGGGCACTTCCTGATTCATAGCAAAGATTTTCTTTGCTAGAGCGTCGCTGGACGTCCTCACGCTATGCATGCGCATTAGGCTTCCTCAGCCGGCGGGCGGGATCAGTCTCGCCCACCGGCTGACGTAATTACTGGGAGGAGTGTCGCTGGACGTCCTCACGCTAGTTGACGACCTCCAGCGTTGCTCAATTCCCCATGGGAAAGCATTGAAAATCTAATTGGGTTTCCTCAGCCGGCCGACGGGATCAGTCTCGCCCACCAGCTGACGTAATTACTGGGAGGAGCGCCGCCGCCCCGAAACCACCGCCAAGGGACATCGGCGGGGTCTCAGGTAAGTGACCTGAAGGGGTACCTGCAGTGCCAGGAAAACTGATTGTTTTCCTGGCACTGGAGTTTCCCTTTAAGTTAATGGGATTATGGACAATGAATGGCAGGAGTTGCTCTTTTAAAAGAAACACTGAAGCAAAGTTGTGCGCATGCCAGGATCGGTTTCCAAGGTAGTTGTCCAAGTGTACTTACTCTGCCGTTCGTCTCTCCTTTCCACCATCCCTGGTCCCCTCCTATTCGGCTGTAGATTCTGACCACATCTCCTTCCCGTAATGAGAGCTCCCGCATATCTCTAGCGGCAAAATTGTACCTGGCGACAGCAGTTCCTACAGGACGTGGCGTGAACACTACAGGGGGAAATAAATACAACAGAAGTCAATCCATGGTCGAAGCCATGAAAATTCTACAGCATGTAAAGGGTTTAACCTCAATAGAAGACAAGGACATTGAATGCTTCTAGTACATTTACAGTCTTCCTCAAGTTCTCTGCTACTACACAGCCCTAAAAGTGGCTTGCCACGGGTTTAGAGCTCTAAAGTCTTGTTTCATCTACTGATAGACATTTACCCCTCCTGTATTAAAAAAACTCTGGAGGAGAAAAGATCAAATTTGGATGTTAGACTAGCCGTCACAAAATGGACTAAACTCCCTCTAAACCATGGGGGAATTTACATTTTCTAAAGACATACAATTAAGGAAAAGGATCTGTGAACAGATGAATATATTTAACCCTTTGTCAGAGGCATGCACAATACCATGCCAAAGGTAAGTATGTCCCATTTGAGAGAAATGGCATAGGATGACCCAACATTTTATGGCATGAGTGAATATATGGTTGACTGTGCCCAACAAATGCCATGGCAGAGCGTAACCCAGGTAAAATGAGTGGTTGAAAGAGAAATAATGACAGCGTTGGGAACAGAAAAAAATACTAAAACTTGACCTGGCATTCTGAGATTGAATATTTACCCTAACTAAGATGGAATAGGAGCCAGCAGTTAACTTATTCCAGTTTCATCCTGATCTGAAATGTTGTTTTATATAATTTCTAAGAAAAAAAAAACTTATAGTTTGTACATGTTTTGCTCTGGGTGGAAAAGCCGACACAGGGACCTGAAATGCATGCAGTGCCCAACCATGACCACTAGGTGACACTCTGCCACCAGTACACAAAGTGAGAAAGATGGCAGTACCTGACCAGAATGGAGTGGACGGGTTCTGACAAGGAAAGTTGAGGCCCTGAGGACTGAGAAAAGAAAAGTTGTAGGAAGCACAGGAGGCTGCAAAGAGGTCAGAGAAAACATAAAGGTAGAAAAGAACAGGGAAGGAAAAAAGAAAAGAAAAAAAAAAAAAGAGATAAAACATTTCCAAGCAGTGCAGAGAAGCAAAATCAAAGGGGAAGAAATTATTCTGTAGCATTATCACA